GGCGTGTGGCACCGCATTCAGTTCCGTACACCATATCTCAAGTGTGTGTTGATCGGACTCCTCACCTTACCGTTGAGCCATTCCTTTCCTCGGGGAATTGAGTTAACTGAATACAATTGTCAGAGTGTGTTTCGCTCAGCGGTCCCACTCGGGTGCTGAGTGTGATCCCCATCATTGGGGCGCTGTCTCATCGCGCAAGCATTAACTGACCTCACCACTTTTCACAGGAACTCCACTGGAAGTCACCTCCACATCCACCGAATTAACTGCCACAACGGCCGCCGGGCCTAACCACGGGAACTGACAGTGTTGCAGCGTTTGCAGCGTTTGCATTTTTTCTGCTTGTTTTTCCGCATGATCTTACATATGCACTCAAGCAATCCGACCTGAGTTTCCAACAGTTTAATTCGATGTGCATGAACACTCTACTACACCACATACTACATTCCACATGAAGACAACTCTCACAGCTCCGCAACAACACACACCCACTATCAGCACAAGCATTACGATCTCCATTTCAAATGATTACACCAGCTGCAGTCTCCGCTGCCGCGCCGCGCCGTCGCTGCCGCCATTGCGAAGACTTTGCTACACAGCTGTGACGATCTTTCAACAGCCCTCCACTGGACGCCTCATGCAGTATCCCTGGCCATACTCACATGCAACACCACCTCCACTACCCATCGCACCAACGCAACCCACAGCCACAATCACATACCGCACCAGCATTTCCTTACCCACAACACCCGACATTTCCTGCACCACAACATCCAACATTTCCAGCTCCACAACCTATGTCAATTCCAACTCCAACACCCCTTCACTCAGCACCAACAGCAACAATGCCTTATGGCAATCCCTCCACATGGATGCTTGTACACCCTTCTCAGCCACAAGCCACACAACCACAACCCACATTTCAACCACCGGCACCTCCCCCATCCGACCTAGTGCAACAGTTGCACCACTCACCACCTACAGACCCCGCCACAACCACACCAATTCAACCACCTCCTGCACCTCAGCAATTACTTTCAGCTACCACCCCACCAGAACCCCAGTGCCACATGCCAGAAGGGGTCTGGCAACCTTATTCCGCATTTCCCCCACTTACACAACCTTCGCACCAATCTCCACCACAATCACAACTAGCCCTCAGTGACTCACCACAGTATCCACAACCACACCAGCAACCGGCACCACTGGATCCCACCACTCCAGCTCCCAACCCAACCACCACGGCCACCGGCTCACAACCCTCTCCATCACCATCCATCGCTTCGGCCCCACCGGCCACAGTGACCCCGGATCCCACCACCGGCATACCAGACAACACCGTTTCACCAGCCCAACCATCCCCCCATCCACCCCACAGCAGTCGCCGCCACCATCACAAGGGCCGGCGTAAGACCGACCATCACCGAAGCGGTCGTCACAGACATCGCCGTCGGCGCAGACGTCGCCACCACTCCAAGGCCACCAGACATCACAGTTCCTCCTGGCGACACTGCTCGCCATCCACATCTACATGTTCCTACACCTCCACACCCTCCCGCAGCCGCTCCAGACAGCCGATCGACCTACGGCCAAACACAGATGCCTCCACAGCAGACAACACCAACACTGACACCTCCAAATATCCACTCACACCAGTGGTCCGTCGACCACCCAACCGCTGGCGACCCACACAACCCTTTCAGACCTTACCACCCAAGGAGCAAATCCTCGCCTGGCTTGATTTTCATGCTGACCAGCTCGACACTTCCAACCGACCTCAACACCAATACCTGGCCAATCTCCTCTGTGACAGCAACATCACATACAAAGACATCACCGATTTCCGACAATACACCTATGTCAAGTGGAATGAAGCCACCCAGCAATACGATCAGTTCCAATACAATGCCATTTCACTACCCTTCCTTAGCACCAAAGCATCCACACCATCACCACCACCCGTTTCTCGTGCCACCTCCACTCACAGGGAAGTCGCCCACATCAACGCCGGCCACACAGGCCCTGTCGGCAACATCACCAACATCTTACGACAAGGCCGCTTCCTACCCAGCACACTCCACGTTGCCAACTATCCCGGATTTTTTGCTCAAGGCGTTCGCATTACCCACAACCAACAACACGACCAAGGCGAATTTGCTCGCATTATCCACAATACCTGGCAACTCCACAAGAA